GTATTGGCAAAGGTATTTAGCCGGTTCGAGCAACCTGACAATCAAGTCTTGGATGGGTATAAAGCTCTTCGCATTCTTGCAGGACCAAGTAGATATTTTAAGACGATGTCTTCGATGTGAAAACATTGTCAGGAGGGACATATTATCAGCTTGATTAACCAATCTTGCGTGTATCGTGAGGGATATTCCATTGAATGGTATGGGAGAATGAGGTGGATTCAACGTGCATCATTGGAATTTTTCCATTTAAACGTGTCCTAAGCCAGCTGTTGGTTGGATGTATCCTGCTTATGACTCGGGCTCGAATCATATGGAGAGAGCCATATTCAAATTCGATCCTGGATATTTGAAACCCAGAATATGTGTATTTGCAATTGCCGTCTTCTACCACTTTATGCGCGGCCTTGACAGGAATAATCAATCCGTAGAGCGCCAGCCAGAAAACATGAGCAACGACTCACTCGTTCAGCAGGCATGGAGAAAATCCAATTCAGAAATCAACTATGACGTTTAATCGTGGAAAAAACGCTGAAGGGAAAAAACAGAGAAAAGAAAGGAAAAAGCAATCGTCGTCGTAAACATCGGTTGAAATGCGACCTCGGCAGCGCAGGTCCACCACGAATGACGTCTGAACTTGGCAATTCCCACTCCAACGAGTCCCGCACATCCCAGTCGCAGGCAGCACGCAAAACGCACTCCCGACGACTACACCACGATCTTTGCCACCATCCCGCTCTCTCTCGCCTTCACCATCACACCCCCTCCTTTCGCCCCGATGCTGTAACCAAGGTACTTCATCCATCCTGAACGGACGGGACACTGGCAATGCGTCTATTCACCCATGGCCAGGTGCTTGCTCTTCTGGCCTTCGTGAACACCATCTCTGCTATCCCGTCATTCTCTACCAACAGCTATCCCGCCCACCCTGCGGAACCGGTCTCTCTTGTCTCACAGCACCAGCCTCAGGCTCCTCTTGGACTGTGGACGAGACTTCGCAATTCGGTGATAGAGAGAGTGTGGGGTGTTCCGCCTCAACAGCGCCATAGAGGGGGAAATAAGCACCAGTATCCTCCATTCTCCGCCCCTGCGTCTTTACGAACGCGGTATGGTGATGATGTCGTCCTGCGATTTAAACTACAAACTGCAGATGAAGTCAAGGCGCTTGTCGAGGCGTCTAATATTCTCTTCTTAGATGTCTGGTCGTCAACCGATGAGTGGATAGATATCAGGCTGGCCAAGGATGTGGTATGTAACCTCTATTTTAAATATCATGGACAAAATGAAGTTTCAGTAATTCCTAAGTGAACTCTTCGTGCAGGTTCCATCCCTCCTCGGTTTGCTTCCAAAGTCACTGCAAACAACACATGTCCCTCTCATTCGTGACCTTCCTCAAACCATCTATGAATCCTATCCTTCCCCATTCCAGAGCTCCTCGGGCCATGAACGAGGTTTCTTGCCTTCCGGTGAACCCTCCTCCGATGCAACGAACATATTCTTCGAAAATTATCAACCGCTTTCCGTGATTGTTCCTTGGATGCGTTTGCTAGCCTCGATGTTTCCGTCACATGCCCAATTTATTAGCATTGGCTCGTCATTTGAGGGTCGCGATATCCCAGCTCTTCGAGTGGGAGTTCGGCCAGCTAATGATCAGAAACCTCGCCGGACCCTCATAATCGAAGGCGGCTCCCATGCGAGAGAATGGATCGGTGTTTCGACAGTAAACTATGTAGCATACTCGTTGATCACTTCCTACGGAAAATCCAAACCCATTTCCACACTTCTGGAACAATTTGACTTCATCTTCATCCCGACCATCAATCCTGATGGCTATGTGTACACTTGGGAAACTGATCGCCTGTGGAGAAAAAACAGGCAGGAAACTAGCCTTCCGTTTTGCCATGGCGTGGACTTGGATCGCACATGGGGCTTCGAATGGAACGGCAACGTTACTGGAGATAACCCGTGCTTAGAATCTTACGGCGGAGATAAGCCATTTGCGGGAGTTGAAGCTCACCAATTAGCTGAATGGGTGAAAGAGCAAACAGAGCAACGTAACGCTAAATTCGTCGCCTTCGTTGATCTCCACTCATATTCCCAACAAATCCTGTATCCATATTCATATTCCTGTCTATCTCAGCCACCCAACTTGGAAAATCTCGAAGAGCTTGCGATGGGCATTGCAAAGGCAATTCGCCTGACCAACAGAAAAACCTACGCCGTAAGCTCGGCCTGTGGGGGACTCATGGCGTCTCAGAAGAAAAAAGTCAAATCGGAAACATTCCTCCGAATGGAGAGTACCGGAGGCAGTGCGCTGGACTGGTTCTATCATGACTTCGGTGTCAAATACGCCTACCAACTCAAACTGCGCGACAGAGGCAGCTATGGGTTCCTATTGCCGCGGGAAAATATCGTCCCAACGGGGAATGAGGTGTTCAATGCAGTTATGATGTTAGGCAGATTCTTGTTGGGGAAATCCCGTGCATTTCAGGAATTGGATTGGGACGCTGGGTTTCAGCGGCCCAACAAGGATGACAAACCTATCCTTAATGACGATGACGATGATGATAATGATGACGATGATGATGATGATGATGATGCTGACACGAACGATGATGGAATTGGCCGAAAAGATGACTCCTGGGTACCCGATGAGTACAAAGGCGATAACGATCGAGATGAAAGTGATGGTGGGTGGGGCTTCCGTAGACTGCGAAAACGATAGATTTTGAATCCTATATTTGATTAATCTATAGCAGCCAGCTTCCATGCCCCATCACCCGTCTTCAATTTTTGGCTGAAAGAACCGGGGGGATATAGGACTAGGGTTTTCGTTTCTGCCATATTTGATACCATAATTGTGTTTTTAACGAACTTTTCCTTTGGTTTTTCTCTTCGATATGCGTATATTCTACTACATTTTTTTTTTTTTTTTTTTTTTTTTTTTCATTTTACATATTTGGACATGTGAGTGCTACTTATCTTTCTTGCGTCTTCTT